GGTTCAGCTTTGCACCCTAATACTTGAGGCACCTTTCGTCCCATTTTTGGGAATACAGGAATTTAAGACAAACGAGCAACGACTGAAATATCCAGGGACAACCGCTTAAGAACATTGCAGCCTCCTGAATCCCCACTTTGACAGGACTTTCACTGGTTCTGCGTAACTGCGAGTTCTTGTTTCGCACAGGCAGAGCTAAAAGGTTATCGTTTACAAGGAGCAAGTCCAACCCCAGCCAACTGAAGTCGGCGGAACCAAAGTTCAGCAAAATGAGACCAAGAGCACCTGCACGGGCCGCAGGACGCTCGTGCCTGTAACGCGAGGGCGGTGAGAGAGGCAGGCAGAAGCACGGGAAGGCGTTAAGTAGATACTCACTTTGCAGTTAAGATTTTATGATCAACGTCATCTAGAGATGAGCTGTGAGCAACGTGAAATGTTCCAAACAGGGTGTTGCGCTTCTTTTTAATTTTTTCAGCCTGGAACATCAACAGAAAAAGGTCACAGGAAGAAGACGACTTTATGTTTCCTCCAGGACAAGAACATCCTGGATGGGCTGAGACAGAAATAGTCCCTGCAGCTGCTGGCGCACCCGTAAATTGTGTGAACTGGGTTTTTACTGGGGGGAGTTATTCTTCCTAACACAGCGGGTGAGGCATCGGCCAGCAGCGAGCAAGCGGGTTATGGGTTTCACGCTCCCGCTCGGTCCTTCTCCTGGTGTGCCCGGAGTCAGAGGGAGCTGAACCAGGTGCTTCTCCCAGACAATGGCTCTCCAGCAAAGCCTGGCTTTGTCCTTCTCAGGAGTAAACTCTCGGAGAAGCACTGCCAGTGCCCCAGGGCTGTTGGTTTGGGCAGGTTTGTTGTTTCGGGGTTGGTTTTTTTTTTTCACCTTCCCTTTGTGGCACTGGGCTTATTCAAAATTCAAGTCTCCGCCCACAGCCCTTTGGTTCACAGCTCCGGTGGCATTAACTTGGGACTTAAAAAGCCAAACCCAGGCCCTGGACCTGAGAACCGACACGGCAAAAGGGAAACCACTGGGACGTTAACACGGGCAGAATGAAAGCAGGGTAAGGCAGACAATTTTTTCCGCGCTGCCAGCTCTGACTGCTGCGTCCGTCCACAGAGACAAACACACGCCACAGCAGCTTCCCTGCAGCTCATCGCTTCTCGGTCGGCACAGAAAATTCCAAGCACCCGGGAATGCAGAACTGGCTCATCGCCACAGCCCGCCCGCACACGCCGGGGGTTGTGGCCCTGTGCCCGCGGACCACCTAGAGCAGGGGCGACGCCTCACGGGCGCAAAACCTTCTGCTCGCCGACTGCCGGGCAGCAGTTCCTACCCCGCACCCTCCCGGGGCTCCAGCCTAACGCAGCCGACGGGCAGGCCCAGGGCAGCGCCTGCCTGGCCGGGAGAGGCGACGGCTCGTTCTCATTTTCAGCCCCTGCTCACACCTCTATGAAGGCTTGTGCCCCTCTTTAAAAAAAAAAAGCTCATTTAAGGCACCGAAAAGGAAATAAAGGCGGCGCAGAGACACCAGCTCCGCAGGTTTCGCTCCCCAAACCTTTCCCCGCGGGGTCGCGAGGGCAGAAGACCCGGGACACGGACGCCGAAGTTCTCACCCCTTCCTTGGCCACCAGCAGCTGCTTCTCCGCGTTCTGCTTCTTGATGTTGTAGTACTGGACCTCCACCTCGTGGGTCAGCTGGAGCCACTTCTGCAGGGCCTCGGGCGCAGCCCAGCTGCAGTGGGACTCCAGCTCCTTCTCGGCGTTCTTCAGCGCCATCCGCACCTGCGGGAGAACCGGCCGGCGCGGCGT